AATTTCATCCTAGCCCCCCATAAAAATCAAATGGTAGCTCCCTTAAGTGTTTAAATTTCTACTTATAAAATTACTTACATAAGTGATTTTAGAGAATCTGTGTCAAATTTTGTTATTTTTTAAAATTTTCAAATGACATTTTGACTTAAACAGAGATTGGGAAGGACGTGCGCCTTGCGCCAATTGCGCTTGAACAGAAATGGCGCATAAAGTGACAAATGTAAGAGCCCGCGTGGCGCATGATATTTTTCACTTCGTTTTGAAACGTTGAGATATCGTCAAATGGATTTCCGATCGTATTTCGTGCCGCCATGTGTGAGTACACAACTGTGTAGTGTTTACTCCAATGATAGGAGCACCTATATATTGTTGGGACGTCTGGGGTGTTTTCCTATGGTAATAATAGCAACATGCGGTATGACTGATTACCCAAAAAACGTAATTAACCATCATTCATGATATAATTTTTTATAAACAACTTTAAATTTGTGAAAATTGGCTAGTACAGGCGAGAATTCTTCTCTAATTATAATCTTTTAAGTAAGCTTGCTATTATTTCGATTGAAAAATCCAAAAGCTTTTTTATGAATAGTATAGTATTTGTCTCCATAAAAGGGGCTTAACTGTCCTTGTCAATTTTTTTGGTCTTTGGCTCGTTTTGACATTTTGTAAACATGCCTTCAGCGAATTGTTGTTGTGTCCTATCAATTAACGTTGCTCTCTACTATTCTTGTCATCTTGATGAAGTAATAATAATACAAGTGCAGAGGAAATGCCAGAAACGTCCTCTAATACGGAACGTCTGGAATAAGTATGGTATCGACGAAGACCCAAATTTAATGTAAAAAAAACATGAACATGAACAAGGGAACAGTACAAGTTTTAACATTGTAAATAAAGGTTATCGTAAATATTGCCCGGTATGGAAGAATTTATTGTATACTCATTGAAATCGAAATTACAAAATCACAGGAACAATATCCATGATATTAATTAGAACCATACTTGTAAGTACAGTGAAATATACACTTTTTTTATTTTTTTTTTATTGTAAACGAATGGCCCTCTCATTTGACAACATGGCCCATTAATTCTAAAAATGGCCCATTGAATTTATTTTTGGGGGGCCCTAGGCCCATAGAGAAAAAATCCTTCCAGATCACTGCTTAAATAGGTGATACTGAAGTCACCTGTTTAAGTAATACCCCTGACTGAAAATAGTAGATGTTTTAATGTCGAGCTGCAACATATTGTTGCTGAAGTAAGACATGGCAATCTTACACTCCAGTATCATCGGTGTCGGCGTCGTCAACATTTAGGTTCAGTCTGTGGTTACAGTTTTTGTCGAGCCTGCGACTTTTGTCGCAGAAAGCTCGACATAGGGATAGTGATCCGGCGGCGGCGGCGGCGTTAGCTAACTTCTTAAAAGCTTTATATTTAGAAGGTGGAAGATCTGGATGCTTCATACTTTGTATATGGATGCCTCATGTTACGAAGTTTCCGTCAGTCAAATGTCCAATGTCCTTGACCTCATTTTCATGGTTCAGTGACTACTTGAAAAAAAGTTAAGATTTTTTGTAATGTTAAATTCTCTCTTACTATAAGTAATAGGATAACTTTATTTGGTAGTTGCGTACCTTGCAAGGTCCTCATGCCCGTCAGACAGTTTTCACTTGACCTTGACCTCATTTCATGGATCAGTGAACAAGGTTAAGTTTTGGTGGTCAAGTCCATATCTCAGATACTATAAGCAATAGGTCTAGTATATTCGGTGTATGGAAGGACTGTAAGGTGTACATGTCCAACTGGCAGGTGTCATCTGACCTTAATTGACCTCATTTTCATGGTTCAGTGGTTATATTTAAGTTTTTGTGTTTTGGTCTGTTTTTCTTATATTGTATGCAATAGGTCTACTGTATTTGGTGTATGGAATGATTGTAAGGTGTACATGTCTAGCTGGCAGATGTCATCTGACCTTGACCTCATTTTCATGGTTCAGTGGTCAAAGTTAAGTTTTTGAGTTTTGGTCTTTTTTTCTTATACTATATGCAATTATAAGTTCAACTATATTTAGTGTATGGAAATATTTTATGATCTATATGTCAGTCACGCAGGTTTTATTTTACCTTGACCTCATTTTCAAGGTTCATTGCTCAGTGTTAAGTTTTTGTGTTTTGGTCTGTTTTTCTTAAACTATAAGCAATAGGTCAACTTTATTTGTTGTATGGAAGAATTGTTAGCTGTGTACATGCCTGCCTAGCATGGTCCATCTGACCTTGACCTTATTTTCATGGTTCATTGGTCAATGTTTAGTTTATTTGGTTAATGTTAAGTTTATGTGACAGTTGTAATAAAGCTTTATATTTAGGACTATCAACATAATATCAATGATTATACTATAGTAAAGAAGGCGAGACATTTCAGCGTGTGCACTCTCGTTTTAGACATCAATAACTTTGTCAAACCTTCATGGAATTTTATGAAACTTGGACAAATGCTTTTTGTCGAGCCTTCGACTTTAGTCGAAAAAGCGAGACATAGCGATCCTACATTCCGTCGGCGTCGTCGTCGTCGTCGTCGTTGTCGTCGGCGGCGTCCACAAATATTCACTCTGTGGTTAAAGTTTTTGAAATTTTAATAACTTTCTTAAACTATCCTGGATTTGTACCAAACTTGGACAGAAGCTTGTTTATGATCATAAGATAGTACCCAGAAGTAAATTTTAAAAAAAAAAAAAATCATTTTTTCTGTATTTTACTTTTAAATGGACTTAGTTTTTCTGCCAGGAAACAATACATTCACTCTGTGGTTAAAGTTTTTAAAATTTTAATAACTTTCTTAAACTATCCTGGATTTGTACCAAACTTGGACAGAAGCTTGTTTATGATCATAAGATAGTATCCAGAAGTAAATTTGTTAAAAACAAAATTTCATTTTCTCCGTATTTTACTTATAAATGGACTTAGTTTTTCTGCAAGGAAACAATACATTCACTCTGTTGTTAAAGTTTTTAAAATTTTAATAACTTTCTTAAACTATCCTGGATTTGTACCAAACGTGGACAGAAGCTTGTTTATGATCATAAGATAGTATCCAGAAGGTAATTTGTTAAAAACAAAATTTCATTTTTTCCGTATTTTACTTATAAATGGACTTAGTTTTTTTGCCAGGAAACAATACATTCACTCTGTGGTTAAAGTTTTTAAAATTTTAATAACTTTCTTAAACTATCCTGGATTTGTACCAAATTTGGACAGAAGCTTGTTTATGATCAAAAGCTAATATCTAGAAGGAAATTTTGTTAACATTTGTACCTGTTTATCCGTATATTACTTATAAATGGACTTAGTTTTTCTTCCAGTTAACATTCTGCAGTTAAAGTTTTTAAAACATTTATTAGATTCATAAACTATCCTGGATTTATACCAAACTTTGACAGAAGCTTCTTACAATCAAAAGATAGTATCTAAAGGAATATTTTTATTGATTTTTTTCCTCATTTTTGTTGAGCCTGCGATTAACAGCAAAATTAGGCGAGACACTGGGTTCCGCGAAACCCTTACGAATTTTTTATGATCAAAAGACAGTATCAAGAGCAAAATTATTTTTTTCTGTATTTTTATTATACCCCACGCAACAAAGTTCCGAGGGTATAATGTTTTTGACCTGTCCACCAGTCCCTCCGTCAGTCCTGTTCTTGTCATCGCAACTCCTCTGAAACCACACAACCGAATTTCATGAAACTTTGTAGATAATAAGGACATACTATGTAGATGTGCATATCGACAGGAAATTATGATTCAATTTTTTTTCTTGGAGTTATGCCTCTTTGAACTTAGAATTTTGGCCTTAATATACTACTGCATCAGTTTGTCAACTCAACTCCTCTGAAACCACACTTGATGAAACTTTGTAGATAATAAGGACATACTGCTGACTGATAATTTCCTTCTCAGCACAGTAGAGTGAGATGGGAAATTATCGCTAAAAACTAAGGGCGCACGTGCCGTTGTCAATGTAAACATCAACGACCTCATAGTCAAAATAGCGATAAAAAGATTATCATTATAAGGTCATCTTCACTCGATTGCTTTTCTCGCATTCGCCATGCCGGCTCAAGCAAGAAAATAAATCTTGTGAAGATGACCGATGATAATCTATTAGTATCAGTATTTCCATTCAGATAGTTTGGCCCTGCCTCATCAGTCATGGTCTATTGACATTGAAACTTTTGCAACAACACTGCTGCTACTGTAAATTGAACACTTATAATTGTCAGTTATAGATGTGCAATTTAAATGAATATTTAACTTCTAAATGTTATTCAAAAACTTGTCTTCTGACATTGTCTGTGAAAAAGGAAAAAATATTAAGGTCAATTGCAAGGTACAGTAAATGGGCTATGTCACAGATTTTGGTAAAATTTTGCATACAACTTTGGCTTGTTGAACTTTAACTGAAAATTGGAAAAATAATGCATTTATCTCTTTTTTTTCCTGAAATATTACTGATTGAATTCTTTCAAAATAGATGAACATTTGTATAGAAAGCACATAAATTGGTGAAAAACGTTCTTACATCTTGAAATCATCAAATCTCCAATTTCAAGTCCATAGATTTTTCTTAAAACATAATATGTCATGTATGTTGTTGATACATAAATTTCTGTTTTGATGATGAAAAACTAATATGGTCACCAACTTTGTTTTTGGTTCATTAACTGATCTGTTACCTAGTTCACTGTTGGTAGTGAAAAACTTCTATACAAATATTCGCCTATTTTGAAAGAATTCAATCAGTAATATTTCGGAAAATAAAAGAGACAAATACATAATTATTCTATTTTCAATTAAAGGTCAACGAGCCAATAATGTATGCAAAATTTTACCAAAATTTGTGACATAGCCCATTTACTGTACCTTGACCTTAAATGTCTCTCCCACTCTTGGTCCTGACACCACTAAAATTTAGTTCTTTTTTTTTCTTTATAATCTGCACAGGTAAAGAAAAGTAGACATCAAAGCGATTTGGATTCATCTGATTCTGATGGAGAAGCATGCAAAAGCACTAGTTCATTTTCTTCAGGGTCAAGAAGTTCAGATACAAGTAAAAATGCACCCAAAATAGAACTGTTACTGAATAGGGCAGTTTTAGGACAGCATGCAGGGGGACTCTTGTTAGATCTCCACAAATTTGTAACAAAGGACTGTGATACAGATCAATATAAAATGCCAGGGATGATTGTTAAAGGCACTATGGTAAGTACTATGATTTTATCTCAGCTACCCTGAAATGCCATGTCAGATATGCAATCATTTTGTTTGTGTTACTCAATGGTATTGATCAGCATTAGCTTACTTTTACATGTCAGGAATTGTAATGAATCAAAATTTTATAGGATTAGACAATCAGATAATGTGACTTGTATATTAACTTTTAGGCAGCCATTATGCTGCCTTATGTTAGCACTCCAGATTTTAAGACAACATAATCCAGAGAGAATTCAAAATGTATGGCAAATAATAAAATTATAGATGTGTTAAAGACTTGAAAACAGTATAAAACATCATCTCATACATATACCATCAACTTCACGTGGAATTTGCCCTAGCCTTAAATGAATTTTATTTAACAAAAGTGAGGTCAATCAGCTACTAAATTTTTAGTAAATACAAAACTGTATTTGTGCACATTGATATCAAAGTCAGCTATTTGAGGATTCCAACACTTTTTCAATATATGAAGATCTCACCACCGGTCTTGTTTGATTGTCTCATTTGCCAATAATGGCTTTTTGACTGTTTGTTCATTGGTTTTTTATGCCCCCCCCCCCCCCGAGTGGCACGGGCATTAAGGTTTACCCTTGTCCGTCTGTACGTCAGTCCGTATGTCCCAGAATTGGTTTCCATTCTCTAACTTTAGTTTGCCTCAACCAAATGTTATGAAACTTAAATATAATGCTTATTACCACCCAACACAGATCAAGTTCGAATTTGGATGGCGTCACTTTCACCGTTCTCAAATTATGTCCGTTTTTTGCTGAATTTGCCGTTTCTGCACTCTAAATTAACTTTGCCACAACCAAATGGCAGGAAATTACGATTCAATTTTTTTTTCTAGGAGTTATGCCCCTTTGAACTTAGAATTTTGGCCTAAATATACTACTGCAACAGTTTGTCATCATAACTCCTCTGAAACCACACAATAGAATTTCATGAAACTTTGTATATAATAAGGACATACTATGTAGATGTGCATATCGACAGGAAATTAGTTTAAAAAATATGTCCGATGACCCCGCCTGCCAACCAACATGGCCGACATGGCTAAAAATAGAACATAGTGGGTAAAATGCCGTTTTTGGCTTATATCTCTGAAACTAAAGCATTTAGAGCAAATCTGACGGCAAAAATGTTCATCAGGTGAAGATCTATTTGCCCTGAAATTTTCAGACGAATCAGACAACCCATTGTTGGGTTGCTGCCCCTGAATTGGTAATTTTAAGGAAATTTTGTAGTTTTTGGTTATTATCTTGAATATTATTATAGATAGAGATAAACTGTAAACAGCAATAATGTTCAGCAAAGTAAGATCTACAAATAAGTCATCATGACCAAAATTGTCAATTGACACCTTCAGGAGTTATTGCCCTTTATAGTCAATTTAATGTTTAATAGCACATGTAACCTGCTCTAACAGATTCAACCACTAACATCTTTAATAGTCAAATAGTGACCTGTTATTTACAGCGGGCCCACAGAGATGGCTCCCATCTCAATGATGTCTAGTATATATTTAAAATTTGTTGTTTTATTTTCAGGTATTTGTTACTGTACTGGAAATTTCAAGACAACAATATATAAAATTAGCCGCAAATAAGGAACTGGAAGATGCAGATAAAGCTATTATATACTATTCTCGTCCATTTAATATTCTCAATGAAAGTGATAGAAATGTATTAATTGAAAGCTTTGTAAGACTAAACAATATGCAATGAACAGATTTTGGCAAGGGTCCAGTTATGAGTTCAGCATAGTCAAGAAAAATATATGGTTCTTCTGATTTTGTAATAGTACATGTATTTTTTATGCACCAATCAAACCATGGTGTATTATGGTATACAGTTAGGAATGTTGACAAAATATTTACAGAATAATATGTACTAAAAGAATTATTTCAAATTTTTTACCAGAGCTAAAGAGCTTTAATCAATAAAATTTCAACAAGTACAACCAAACTCATCATAGCTCAAGTTTGTTGAAATGGAAACACTTGTTATATCCATGAAGAGAAACCCCCTTTTGATTCTAAAGATTTTTAAGTTTTTATTTCCAGACTTATGACTCCTTAAGGGCATACGATACAGTTTTGATCCCACAGTGATTTTTGGAGGAAAATTTGCATACAAGCTAATTTTCACCTCATCAATTCAAATATGTAATAAAAAATATACCTTCATGTGCTACTATTAGAGATAGATGAGGTCGAAATTTTACACATTTACTCAACATTTACATCTATGATATAAATATTGGGTTTGTAAGTTTGACTGTACATGTAGAATGTTAATGAAAAACTGAATATTACACCATAAATGTAACATTGATGTTATTAAAAGAGCTCATTCATGCATCTATAAACGATCTATCTAGACCTATTAACCCCTTGAACTTATTCTTAAACGTCATTAATTCAACACAGTAGTTAAATCTTTAGATTATTTTTGTCTCGCCTTGACAGAGTCAAAAAGTGAGACATAGGTATGCTGATTCCGACGTCGGCGACGGCGACGGCGATGGTGTCAACAATGTTTTAGTTTGTGATTAGGTCTAGTTCATGGTGAACCACTAGTGGTAGGTCAATGATATTTGGTATGCAGTTGTATTAGCATTGGCACATCTCATTACCTTGGAGATTATTTGGCCCCGCCCCCTCAGTCAAGGTCTGTTGACTTTGAAACTTTTCATAGTTTACATGTATTAGTTTGTGATTAGGTCAATTTATGGGGAACCACTAGTGGTAGGTCAATGATATTTGGTATGCAGTTGTATAAGCATTGGCACATCTCATTACCATGGAGATTATTTGGCCCCGCCCCCTCAGTCAAGGTCTATTGACTTTGAAACTTTTCATAGTTTACATGTATTAGTTTGTGATTAGGTCAATTTATGGGGAACCACTAGTGGAAGGTCAATAATATTTGGTATGCAGTTGTATAAGCATTGGCATATCTCATTTCCATGGAGATTATTGGCTCCACCCCCTTAGTCATGGTCTATAGACTTTGAAAATTTTGCTAAGTTAACATGTATTAGTTTGTGATTAGGTCAGTTCAAGGGGAACCATTAGTGGTAGGCCAATGTTACTTGGTGTTCAGTTGTATAAGCATTAGCACATCTCATTTCCATGGAGAATATTTGGCCCCGCCCCCTCAGTCATGGTCTATTTACTTTGAAACTTTTGCTTAATTTTCATGTATTAGTTTGTGATTAGATCAGTTTAAGATGAACTGGTAATGTTAAGTCAATGATATTTGGTATGCAAATTTATTGGCATTTGCAAGTATCGTTTCCATGGAGATTATATAGCCCCACCCCTGATCATGGTTCATTGACTTTTAAACTTTTACATAGTTTACAAGTTAATGTTTGTGTTTAGGTTTGTTTGAAGGGAACGACTTATAATAAGTCAATGGTATTTGGTATGCAGTTGTATTAGCATTGGCACATCTCATTCCATGGAGATTGTTTAGCCATGTACCTTCAGTCATGGTTCATTGACTTTGAATATTTGTATAACTTACATGTTAAAGTATTGCTATTTTAATTTCAACATTTGCATTATCAAAATTACAAAAAGGCGAGACATATCTCTGTGATAACAGTTTATTGATATTGGCTTTGTTTTTGACCAAATTGAATTAATATGTTGTACTATACGGTTATGAATACTTCTGATGATGTCGATACTATTTACATATATTCTATCATTGCAAAATGTTCTTTTGCTCAGACTGTTTGTGACATCCTTATCCTAAATTAGTTAGATGAGTCCAGATTAATATTTAAGTCTTGATAACTTAGTTTTTTTGTTGGAGGTAGTGAGTATTGACCTAGCTTACAGTTACTGCGAGTATTCTTAGATCGGTACATAGTGTCTTTTGTTTTTATGTTTGTTGTGTTTGGTTTTTGGTACCGAATTTGTATAGATTGTTGTTTTGTTGTTTTGTTACATCACTGTCGTATGGTTGTGCGAGGATGGAGCGCAACAAACATGTTTAACAAGGCCACATTCTTTATGTGCCCGTCCCAATCAGGTGCCTGTCAATCAATTGTCATTGGTTCATGTCTGTCATATTTGTATTTTGTTAATTTGTTGTTTCTTTAAAGATTTTGTCGTTGGTTTTCCAGTTTGAATTGTATCACATTTCGTCTTGTCCAAGCCTTATATAGTTTACTATACTTACTATACATTATGGGCTAATCAATTATTTAAGACCGTACGTTGACCTATTATTGCTTACATCTACAACCTTTAGTCGGTTTTGTATAAAAGTCTTCATATATCACAACATCTTAATTTTATATTGTGAAGTTCCAGTCTCCCAGATTAGAGGGAATGTGTTGGTAATATATCATAATTGTCGAGCCTGCGACTTTTGTCGCAGAAAGCTCGACATAGGGATAGTGATCCGGCGGCAGTGGCAGCGGCGGCGTTAGCTAATTTCTTAAAAGCTTCATATTTTAGAAGCTAGAAGACCTGGATGCTTCATACTTTTTATATAGATGCCTTATGTTACAAAGTTTCCGTCTGTCATATGTCCATTGTCCTTGACCTCATTTTCATGGTTCAGTGACTACTTGGAAAAAAGTCAACATTTTTTGTAATGTTAATTTCTTTCTTCTTATGAGTAATAGGATAACTATATTTAGTATGTGCGTACCTTGCAAGGTCCTCATGCCCGTCAGACAATTTTCATTTGACCTCGACCTCATTTCATGGATCAGTGAACAAGGTTAAGTTTTCGTGGTCAAGTCCATATGTCAGATACTATAAGCAGTAGGTCTACTATATTTGGTATATGGAATGATTGTAAGGTGTACATGTCCAAATGGTAGGTGTCATTTGACCTTGACCTCATTTTCATGGTTCAGTGGTCAAAGTTAAGTTTTCGAGTTTTGGTCTTTTTTCTAATACTATATGCAATAGGTCAACTATAAATGGTGTATGGAAATATTTTATGATGTACATGTCAGTCTCACAGGTTTTATTTGACCTTGACCTCATTTTCACGATTCATTTCTCAGTGTTACGTTTTTGTGTTTTGGTCTGTTTTTCTTCAACTATAAGCAATAGATCAACTATATTTGATGTATGGAAGGATTGTAAGGTGTATATGTCTGTCTGGCAGGTATCATCTGACCTTGACCTCATTTTCATGGTTCATTGGTTAATGTTAAGTTTTCATGGTTAAGATTGTTTCTTAGATACTATAAGCAATAGGTCAACTATATATTTAATGCCTAAATTGATTGTAAGGTGTACATGTCTGTCTGGCATGGTTCATCTGACCTTGACCTCATTTTCATGGTTCATTGGTCAATGTTAAGTTTTCTTGTTTAAGACTGTTTCGTAGAAACAATAAGCAATAGATAGTTTATTGAATGATTGTAAGGTGTACATGTATTTCTCGTTTGGTTTATCTGACCTTGACCTCATTTTCTTGGATCATGTTAAATTTATGTGTTACTTGTAATAAAGCTTTGTATTTAGAACTATCAACATAAAATCAATGGTTAGTAAAGAAGGCGAGACATTTCAGTGTGTGCACTCTTGTTATATGTATTCAAACTAATCGGACAAAAATTTAAAAAAAAGAAGCATAGACTCAATATTGCACTGGATAAAAGGATGTAGGACTTTTATCGCGGATCAGTTATGTGGATAAACTCCAGTTTTTGACTTTTTGTAAGTTATTTGAAATACTGTGGTTTTATCCATGTTGGGCAATTACAAATTTTGCCCACTAACCCTTACTTTTCTATTCACAATTGTATTACATATGCACGATATAGTTAAATAAGCCATTTGTTGAAAATGTTATAAAATCCTTGTTATTTTTTTTTATAGTTTTTGAGAGAAACAATGAGCCAATATTGAATTTATGAAAGATGTAGAGAGACAAGGAATGATTATCTGTAGATCTTACACTAGGACTTCTTTTATAAACCTCAGGACATAAATATGTTCTTAACTGGTCTAGTGATTCGATCACTAAGAGGTACTAACGCATAAGAATTATCTTTATCAAGTTTAATAACACAGTATGCATTTATATAATAAGTTATGGGTATATCCACAAACGCCAAAAACTGCTCTATGCAGAAACATTAATTTCCTTGAACATTTTGAATTATTCTAATTAATTTAGATATGTATTGCTTTTTCATATATTGCTAAATAAAAACTTTTTGTTTTGTTTTTATTAAAGGAAGCCTTAACCGAAATCTATATCGAAGTTAGGAATCAATTTTCTTTCATGTTTGTCTAATATCTTATACTATATTAAAACCTATGTTATAATCATTAGTATGTTTGTTCAAATGTTTTAGTCAGTTGTGTTGTATTTTTACACATTTATTCGCTGCTGGATCCCAATGATTGTCACATTAAACTAGTATGTTTGTTGGGTTTCTCACGACGATGTTTATCCATTTTTAGTGTTCTGCCTCTTATCTTGTTATCTTAAAAATTTTAAAGACTAAAACTATAACAGACAAGATCTACAAATACGTCAAAAGGCCGAAATCATCAGACAACTCCTTATTTGAGGTATACTTCTTAATGGCGACTTTTACTGATTGCGTTTTTGCCTATTACTTGGAAACTATAAAAGTTAGCTAGACACGTAAATAGCAAAAATTATCAGCAAGGCAAAATATAAAAAAAGCTTTCCCCGTTTCCATTCTCAATTTTATATTTGAAGGAGTGCTCAACCTTAAAAGATGTTTTGTTTGTTTGTTTTTTTAATTTTTTACTCTTTCGTCGGGTTGTTGTCCCTTTGACACATTCCCCGTTTCCATTCTTAATTTTATCCTTATAGGAGTGCCTACCCTTAAATGATGATTTGTTTGTTTTTTATTATTCTAACCGTACATAAGTAGCAAAATATATATCTATTCAGGAATGGTAACACCTATCAGATTTTCTGTTTTTTTTAGGCGATTACATGGCCTGAAAACAAAACAAAATTGGATTAAAAAAGGTAACATGGAACAACGTGCTTGTTTAGAATTTCTCGGAGGTTCTTTGGATCTACCTTGCCAGCGTGGATAAGTGCAATTATACTGCTAAGATAAGCAGTATTAAGTCAATGTTAAATACTTAGGATTGCAGAGATCAAACATATATTGGTTTGATTATAGTTATAAAAGCTTTAGCACTTCCAATATTGGTTCAAGCTTTGACTGTCCTTCCTTCCCCTCGGAAGCGGTTCAAAAGAAAATCCAGAACTTTTTTTTTATTTCTTTATTTGTTTATGGAAAGGAAAACCAGTTAAAGTAAAGAGGTCAGTCGTGATATTCGAACACTGTGGTAGAGGTCTTAAAATGACTATTCCTTATTTTTTTATATAGCTGAATAAAGGCTTTGGTTGTACAAATTATTATAGATCCACAAAATTACTCACCTTTGAAAATTGTCTGATAAGTCATATATATAAATTAGGGTGAGATAAAAATTTAAATTCAAGGAAAGTCTTTTGAATGGCATATCCCGGTATTTGTTTCA